CATAGTCAATGTCAGGTGATTCTTGGCTGAAACCCTAGAGTACCAGAGGAATGTCTGTCTGTGTTTCATTGACTATGCAAAGACATTTGACTATGTGGATCACAACAAATTTTGGCTAACCTTGAGAAGAATGGAAATCCCAGAACACCTGATGGTGCTCATGTGAAACCTATACTTGGACCAAGAGGCAGTTGTAAGAGCAAGAAAACATTGCAGGTTCAAAATAAGAAAAGGAGTTTGTTAGGGATGCATCCAATCTCCATATGTTTTCAATTTGTATGTGGAGCAGATTTGAGAGGCTGGTCTTTATAAGGATAAATGTGGCATCAGGATTGAAGGAAGATTCCTCAAAAACCTGTGTTATGCAGATGACCCAATCTTGCTTGCTAAAACTGTGGAGACCCTGAAGCATTTGCTGTAGAGGGTCAAAGTCTATAGTGTGCAATACGGATTAAAGCTCAACATCAAGAAAAGATTCTCACCATTAGCCAGTTGGCAGCACCATGATAGATGGAAAGGAGAGTGAAATTGTTAATATTTTCTGCTTGCACGGTTGCACAGTCAACATTCTTGGCATCAGCAGACAAGAAATCAAAAGACAAATTTTGAATTTAGGAAAAGTCTGCTGTCAGGGACCTCTCCAGAGTGCTGAAGAGCAACAATGCCAATCTAGAGACTAAGGTGCACTTGATCCAGCCCATGGTCTTTGCAGTTACTTGCTATGTGTTAGAGAGCTGGATAATGACCAAAAAAGAATTTATATCTTTAAGTTGTGGTTCTAGAAAAGAGTATTGAACATAACATGGGCTTCCAAGAGATCTAACAAGTCTCTTCTGGAGAGGGTGAAACCAAGCTGCTTCTTGGAGGCAAGGATTTTGAGGCTCTGTCTCACATACTTTGGGCATATTTCCTGGAGGGACCAGTCCTTGGAGAAGGATATTATGCTTGGAAAAGTGGATGGATAACAAAGGAGAAGACCTCAACTGAGATGGGTTGGCAAAGTAACTGGAGTAATGACGGTAGATGTGTCATAGGCAGTGAGGTTGGCTCAGGATGGAGCAGGGTTCAGAGCTATTGTGCATAGGGTTGCTGTGAGTTGTAGTTGACTCACTGGGACATAACAACAACACAATTAGCAGTCAGGAGATCTAGAGACATATTACACTGGGCATGTCAGATGTCAAGGACCTCTAGACATTACTGAGGAACAATGATGTCAGTCATTGGTGCACCTGATTCAGGCCATGGTTGTCAATCATTTTCTGTGCATCTGAAATCTGGACAATGAATATAGGTTACAGAAGAATTGATGCCTTTTGAACTGTGCTGATGGAGAAGAGCACTGAATATTCTACGGACTGCCAAAAGGACAATTAGCTATGTCTTGGAGAAAGTGCAGCCAGAGTGATCATTGGAGGCAAAGATGGAGACAAAGCTTCATCTCACATACTTTGGGCATATTGTTTGGAGAGGCTATTCACTGGAAAGGGGCATCATGTTTAGAAATGTGGAGGAGAGGTGAAAGAAAGGAAGACCCTTAGTGAGATGGGTTGACACAGTGACTGCAGCAATATGTTCAAATATATCAGAAATTATGAGGATGGTACAGGATAGGACAGTGTTCAGATTTGTTCATATGGTTGCTCTGAGGTTTAGTCAACACAACAGTACTTAATAACAACAAATCTTTTAAAAAACGCTGAGTTTGTGATGAAAATTACACAGCAAATTAGGTCATGTTTGATAATTTCCACATAAATTGTTATGTTAGTCACATTTATCACAATGTATCAACATACTCTTTGATTTAGTTCTGCTTGTTCCCATCCCAATAGTCTAGCTTCTCTGCCCCCTTCTCTTCTCATCTTTGATTTTGAGTGATTATTGACCTTAAATCTCATAATGCTGGGTTGTTTTGGTGGTGGTGGTTGTTTTTTACAGATGTGGATAATATTTCCATACTTTTATCCCTTATTTCTATTTTTGGTAAGTTTTTTTCCACTGCAGATTCTCTCCCCCTTTTCTTCACTGGCATTATGTTTCATACAATTATTCACATACATTGTGTTTTATAAAATTAATCGCTATTGGACTATGCCCACTATTGCTCCATATTTTCAGGTCCCTGCCACATCTTTTCCATTTCTTTTACCCCCTTGGGAGAGACTGGAGATCATTATGCTGAGTGAACTACTCAGTTTCATAAAGACAAATACTATATAAAACCATTATTGTAAAAATATAAGGATAACTAGTAAAACATGTATGGGACTTCAAGGGGGGGGGAAGGAGTGGGAGCATAGGGATGGGGGACAGGGGGAAATCACAAGGTCACATAATTTGATGGATGCATGGAGGGGGGAAAACAAAATGGGAATATAGAGTACTAATCTTATCTTCTCTTTCCCTAAAAGGTGATCTCAAGATAGGCTCTGTTTTAGGTCTAAAGTGTGTTGAAGGAAGATCCTCAACAAGGTGAATTGACCCAGTGGATGTAACAATAGACTCAAGAATATCAGAGATGATAAAGGTGACGCAGAATAAGGCAGAGTTCAGATCTGTGGTTTGTAGGGTAGCTATGAGTCATAGTTGACTTGACAACAACAAAAGGGAGGCACTCATGGGAAGTCCTCTGTTCTGTACTCTTCTACTTTGTCTGACTTTTTAAAACAAAAATTTGAATTCTGTTTTGTGTTTCACTCCCCTTTCTGGAACCAACTATTATGTCCCCATTCAGAATACTGACCAGCAGTCTTCCAAGTGTAAGGATCATGAAAGAGAAGAACAGATTGAGGGTCTGTCACAGATTAGAGGAGCCTGGAGGAGCATCCCAGAGCACTTGATTATGCTCATATAGAATCTATACCTAGACCAAGAAGCTATTATGTGAAAAGAGCAAGGGAGCCCTGCATAGTTTGAGATCAGGAAGGGTTTCTCCATAACAGTTCAGTCTTTAGGCTTAGCAAATAATTCACAAAGCCAGATTCTGTGATGAGGAGTGTGGGAGCACGACTGGAGGAAGACTCATCAACAGCCTGTGTTATACTGATGCTTTTTGAAAGTGAGAAGAAATATAAAACACTTGCTACAGAAGATAAAGGTCTCCAGCCTTTGGTATGGACTACATCAGGAAGACAGAGATCCTCACCATAGGTCCAGCAGTCAGCATTATGATTGTTGTTGTTGCCGTGTGCCATCAAGTTGCCTGCAATTCATAGCAACCCTATGTACAATAGCTCTGAACCCTGCTTTATCCTGAGCCGATCTCACTTACTCTGATACACCTACCTTCATTACCCCAGTCACTGTGTCAATCCTTTTCACCCGGGATCTTTCTCTCCTGAA